GCTTCTCTGTGCCCCAGCAGAAGGGGCTAATAACACATAGCAAGTATAGACAAGTTTGCTTATGGACATATAGAGGATGAAGGAGAAGCAAGCAGGGAGGCTGAACCCCTTCCATCTTGCTCTCTTGCTGTCCTTCTACCACCTGCAGCACCAAAGGGCTGTGCAACAGAATCATGTAATGGCAGAGAGGTTGTAATTGCTCAACCCCAGCTCCCCCTTGGTCCAGAAAACAGCTGTATCCATCCTCTACGGAGCAAAGGCATGGAGTACTGCCCTTTGCACTGATGCTTTGGGCTCCGATCCTATCTAATTTATCCCATCTAATCTAGCACTACCATGGATGATCCTGCTTCCCTCTAAATGGCTGCCTTCATAGTTCATGAAAATACCTGTCTGGATGGGAAAACACTGTCGCAAAAAACCCCACACCACACAAAAAACCCACAATCCGCGTCACCTAACCACACTCCTTAACTGCTTCCTCTGGCCTATAAATGTAATCTCTGCTGAATTAAACTCCACCCAGCTTAACTGTCTGTGTTGGCCACATACTAAAAAAAAGTTATGTGCTGGGCTGTTTATCTATCACAGCTTGGTAACAGGAAAATTGTGCCTTGTCTGTTTATTGTTGGCAAAGGTTCCACAAAGTCCCATTATTTCTCCTTGAATCCACACGTAATCACTGAATGGGACAGGACTGAGAATGAAAGTCCTTTCCTGGTTAACACATTTCCTCTAAGCCCATCTGTCACCCTCGGAGCAGTACCAAAGCACTGTTGCTAAGGAATAGCGTGAGGAGAGCTGGGAGGGAGTATGCTCTTCTTTATTCAAGGAAAACTGAGGATGACCCAGGAATTCCACCAGTTCTGTTTATTTTTAAATAGAATGATGCATATTGCCTTGCAAGTATATTGACCGATTTACAGAAAATTGTTAAACAAAAGCAAGAATTATCCTCTTGCCTCACTACCGAGGATTTTTGCTTTCCTGATAGAACGTAGCCACACCACCTTTTATGTTGCTTGGGGTGTATGAGTGGGAACCTCTTAAAATATAAAAAAAATCATAAAGCCATTATTATTGTGAAAATGATAATCACTGAAGTAGTTACTCTTTAAAGAGTCCTAATTTCAAATTTGGGTTAAAGTTGATTGGACTAGAATATTACGCATAGACATATGCTCTTTGTTACTTTTTTGGTAGCTTCTCTACAACCCAACAACAAAGGCTGCAGAATCCTAAGACACTGGTTGAACTGATGCCACGGAAATTGAAATGGATGTGAAAGATGAACTGTCTGATTTGGACACCTTCCAGATGAAAGCACTTGGCCCAAACCGAAGACAGACAATGGCTGCTTAATGGATTGCTTTCAAAAAGCAAAATATATATTCATCTTTTTCTCATTCAAGCAAGAAAATATTCCTTATCTAAAAGGAGGAGATTCCTTTGTCTAAGAGCGAAAAAACAGATTTAGATGGTTCCACAGATTGGCAATGAAGAACATTAGGCCTCCTAGCAACGCTCTTCAGCACCCTTCGCATGCAGACTTGGCTCTGCATTTCCACTGCCTACTGTACGTGGCAGTCATATACTTTGGGATAGGACTGTATACGGAGTCTATGTCTGGCAGACCTAATAGTAGGTGGTCTGAATCGCTCATTACTCTCATGCCATCGGGTTTGGAGCAGCAAGTCAAGCAGTGTGAACAGAGCTCTTGGGCATGCAATCAGAAGAGGGAAACATTATCCTTTGTGCTTGACTCTTGAACAATTCTTGGATCATTTCCTCAGAGTACAGTGAACTGAGATGCAAGCCCTCACACAAGCCCTTAGAAATTCTCTGGGGTCTGCTCTTCCCAAACATTGTCTAGCCAGACACCGTGGGATGTTCTTTGGCTGTCTGAAAATATCCCCCTCTTATTTTTATGAACAATTTTCTTCTATCTAAGAAATGACTTTTGTATCTTTTGTGCTAAGATCTTTGTTAAAATACTTTGTAATTATTTACATTGCACCTTGGCTAAAGCAGCGTGCTAGAGAGAATTTAGCCAGGCAGCAAAAAGCTTCAATTTAGGGAAGGGGGTGGTGTTTCCCCTCATTAATCTGTTTCTGAGGTAAAAAATGTTTTCTGCATCAAAATGCCTCTGACAGCAAGTTTGTATGATTCTGTCCCTGAATGTTCCTTGACTTCTTTCTTCTTTCTTTAATAAAGGCTGTATATCCTGCGTCAAACTTCAGATTTATTTTTACAGCATTACAAATGCAATGCATTTTGTACAAAAGATCATTCATAACATCATTTTTAATATAGCACAACTACATTAAGACTGTACTTCCTAAGAATTCATAAGAAGCCATAGGAATATAAATGCCCTCCTCTGCATTTTCAGGTAGTTATTGTCAAAATCACTCAAGTACAGAGTCCTAGGTATGACATCAACTGGAAAAAGAGAAACTTTGGTACTTACTGATTTTTGCCTATGAAGAAATTTTTCTTTATACAGACAGACAGTAAGCACTAACTACTGTACAGACAATTCATATCTATCAGCCCTGGTTTCTTTTTGAGGGCATTTTTCTTCCTCACACAGGAGGCCTTGTCTGTGCTTCGAAACTGCACCAATTCAATTGTATTAGCGTAGTACAAGCACACAGGGGAGACAACACAGGAGTGTCTTATACCCACGCAAATACTGTGACACGGGAAGGCCGAAGTGTAAGGCTTTTCTATACCAGTAAAAATGTATCTGTGCAAGTAGTAGCAGTAGACCTATAAAGGTATAAAATGAATACAGGTGTGCATGCGTATACCCACATATACACACCTACCTTGCAAAATAGGTATTCAGCAATTTACCAGCACGATCTGCCGAAAATGGCATCTCCAAATCCTCGCCTTCGTTACAGAGGAGGTGTGACTTCATAGAATCATAGAATGCTTTGGGATGCAAGGGACCTTTAAAGGCCATCTTGTCCATCCCCCCTGCCATGGGCAGAGACATCTACAACTCGATCAGGTTGCTCAGAGCCCCATCCAGCCTGGCCTTGAATGTTTCCAAGGATGGGGCATCTACCGCCTCTCTGGGCAACCTGTGCCAGTGTTTCACCACCCTCATTGTAAAAAATGTCTTCCTTATACCTAGTCTGAATCTACCCTCTTTTAGTTTAAAACCATTACCCCTTGTCCTATCGCAACAGGCCCTGCTAAAAACTCTGTCCCCATCTTAATTGTAAGCCCCCTTTAAGTACTGAAAGGCCACAATAAGGTCTCCCTGGAGCCTTCTCTTCTCCAGGCTGAACAACCCCAGCTCTCTCAGCCTTTCCTCATAGCAGAGGTGTGCCATCCCTCTGACCATTTCTGGGGCCTCCTCTGGACCCGCTCCAACAGGACTTGTGTGAACCTGCCACGGCTTTGACCTAACTTTTCCACCTCAAGAACCCGTATGCAGGGCTGCGGGCTGGCACCCCTCGGTGCTGACTTGCCCGTACACCCTCACTTGATTCAGCGAGCCAGGAAAACGACCCGGCTCCCCAAGAAGGCCTTCAACGGAGAGCCGGTGCGCGGCGGAGGGAGGGCCGGCGCCCAGCCTGCGACGGCTGCGGGCCCGGGCG